GCGAGCAGCTGCTCGCGGTATACTGAGCCTAGGGTGACGGGAGGACGCTAGTTTGTGTCCTCCCGTTACCCTAAGGAGAACTATGGGGAAAAGACTTAACCCCATAGTTCTCCTTTAAAGATACCCATAGGATGTACTTCCTTAATGCACTGACACAATTTCACTCAGCCCTGTGAATATGTACTTCCTGGTGTCATCAAACTCACAGAGCCTGCCTTCTGAACTACAATTCAATGTTTGAACTAGAGGTGTACCAAAATGAAATTTTCAGAAACTAAACCGAAAATAAAATAAATGTCAGGCCGAAACCAAAACCGAAAAAAATAACCTTTCCAAATTTTTTTACATTTTTTTTTATTTATTTACATTAAATATTTTTTTTATCTTTACTGTCGGGGGCTCTGAGGAAATATTGGGGGTCTAAACAGATCCCTGATATTTACCTTTTAAAATAGAAAAAAAGATTGAGGACACAGAGTCCTCAATCTTTTTTTCTGCAGGCCCTGTTAATAAACGAATAGGAATCCTCTATACTGAGTGTTCCTGTTCATTCATAACTTGTGGACATAGTATGTTTACCATGTCCACAATCATGAATGAACAGGAAGTGATGTAGATCACTTCCCATTCATTCATAATTGGGGACACAGTAAACATAGAGGGGAATTTATCAAAACTGGAGCAGACAAAATCTGGAGAAGCTGTGCATGGCAACCAATCAGCTTTCATTTTCAAATCTTAACTGAACAAACTGAAGAGAGATGCTCAATATCCAGTAGCGCGGATCATATATATTTTATATACTATGGGCAATTGCTCCAGATTTTGTCTGCTTCAGTTTTGGAAAATTCCCCTCACTTATGTCCTCAATTTTTTACAAACACTCAACGATCACTGACTGCTTGTACCTGCTCTCCATTCTGATTCGCTGTCACAGTAGGCTGAGCGAGCGATGTGGGGAGGATAGCTCGATCTCCTCTGACAGATGACTCCTCCCCCACACCGCCGGCCTGGCCTCCTGTGACAGTTGACAGCTTTCTCCGCCCCCCACCGCCGCTCTTCTGATCTGCCACCGGAGGCTGAGCGGGGCGGTATGGGAGGCTGAGCATTGGGGGAGGAGAGACGCCGGCTGCTCACAGTGCTCTCATCCCCCTGCACCGCTCGGCCTCCTGTGACAGTTTCTCTCCTCCCTGCTGGACGCTGCGCTGTGTCAGAGCGGACACAGAGCACTGCCCAGCAGGGAGGAGAGAAACCAGGGATGCACAGCCATTTCGGCAGAAAGATGGCACTTTCGGCCAATATGTTTCGGCAGCCGAAATTTTGGTGCATTCCTAGTTTGAACAATGTAAGATCAGCAATGCATGATGGGATATGTAGTCTTGAAAAATTGAGATTGCATCACATCAAGCAGCAGGGAAAGAGACGCAAAGCACACTGGGGAATCCAGGAAGTTGATGAAAGTGATGGGCAGACAGAAGGCAGCACTCACTACATAAAAGAGATTTTTTAAAGTAAGCTTTGATTGCTTTATCAAGAACATCTCTAATTTGTGCAATAAACCCCCATTTCCTGACATTCAAGCAACCAGCAAAAAAATAAAAATAAATTTGAGGACATAATATGTTCTCAAATTTTTTTTTTTACCTGTGGGTTGATGCACACTACACAAATGCTGGTTGCTTGGTGCACACTAAAAACACACTAAAAAAGTTTTATTAGCAACTAAATACATTATAGGCTAGATTCCGCGGTCGGCAGCAGAATGTAAACAAATTGCAATAGCAGGTTATTGTTCCTATTGGGGCTATTGTACCCACCCACTGAGCAGAGTATCTGAGAGAGATGCGGGCTGCCGCAGGAGGTGGGTAGGGGTTGCTAGAGAGTTACTATTAACTCTCAAGCAACCAGAAACTACAGTTATCTGGCATCTACCGATCCCCATGGGTGCTGGATAACAGGGAGTTTACCATATTTTTATTACAATGCTGATGTTATAACTGGGTAGTATAGTAGCAGGCACTGCAAACCATTACTGAGTCTAGAAGTAGCTGAGTACATAGTGTGATCGGGTATATTCTGTAAGTGCCTATAGAGCCCTTAGTACTCATTCAACCCCAAAAGGGGTGTACTCCTAGCATTCACCCCCAAAGGAGCCGCTGGATAAACGGGTCTTCCTTAGCCTGTCTAGGGATTTTAGAAACCTAACTGCCCCAATAGCACTTACCACCCTTCTATGGCCACAGATAAAGCAGAGATCCACACTTTAGATATGATGTTAAATGAGCTTTATTGTAGAACTTCAGGGAGAGAGAGGTTTAGGGCTAGGAACATCCAGGATGGTGTAGACTCCTTTAAGTGGTAGAACAATGCATCTGCTGCCATCACAGACTAGGACCTTTAAGCCAATAGGGCAATCTGTGTTTAGAGCACCCAGCTAAGCAGTACTTGAATAGGAAGTCACCAGTCCATTCAGGAACATACACTCCATTCATAGCAGAGGATAACTTCTCAGGTTCCCCACATCTGTTGAAGTTACTCTGTCATCCTCAACCTCGGTATCAGTTACTGGGTCCCCAGACTCACGCCTCAGTGTGAGCATGTGGCTTGGCCTCCTAGGCTTCAGGCCTAGCCAGATTTGACAGTCAGTAACAGCCCGGCAGGGCCCGGGGGACAAAGAAACCCTCACATGGTCTGCCCCGAATATTTGTGTCCTCTCCCAGCATGCACCACTGGCCATGAACTTCCTAGAGATTGGCCAGGGAGACATAGATATTCATAATCTATTATTGGTTGCTTTAGTCTGTGTCAAGGTTACACCCAGCAGCAGACAGCATACGCTATAGATCAGCATCAGACTGATTACAATCTGACAACAACTAAGTTTCAATAAGCACTCCTGCTTACAGGGTGCTACAGTACCTAACCACAATAGGTACAGACAGCCCCAAGACCCACCTTTCTGCTGGTATTCACAAAGATTTAAATATAAAAGATAAAATTATAATAGATAACATTTGTTACAATATCTTTTTATAAAATAAGAATGTAGAGGCTGAGGAAGATGAAATCATTTAATAGCGCAGGGTAGGAGGAAGCCACAGGAGGTCCAGTGAACTGCAGACAGAATCTCCAATTAAGGTTAAACATTAATATATAATCATTGTGGCATTTCCCAAAGAGTGGGGCACAGGCACATCTCATGTTCATCATGTTGTTAAACTCTGCTAGTTCTAATTTGTTGTAAATAAAGCAGTTTTCATCAATCCCTCAAAGACGTCAAATCGCATATGAAACATTGATTCTTTAAGATTCTTGTTTGATTTTATTCTCAAACAAGGCTTCAACTTCCTAACCTAACAGCTCGATTGTTGCACAGTCTGGATTGCTATTCGCTAATAAACATATTTTCAAATTATGTAGCCCTGAAATAACCACAAATAATTTATAATTAATCATAACTGGTACTAAAAAGGAATCTGCACAAATGAAGTGACTTTGATTTGCAGCAAATTACTAATGAGGCTTAAAGGAGAAGTATTGGCAGAGCAAAATGTACCCTTCCCAATACTTAGAGCTGGCATGTGATACTGCAGATGTCACATGCCGTTCTATAGATCGAGAGCTGAGCAATCACAAACCGCTGATCAATTCAGCTCACGGCTTCTCCCTGCAGAGAGCGATGACTGTCAACTCCCTGCAGGGATTCCTCCTTCCCCTCTCTATTCCTCCAGCACTCTTTGGGGGGCAGACAGGGGAGGGGCAGGCACAGCTGGCTCTGGCACTAGAGAGGCAGAGCCAGATGTCAATCAAGCAGTGGGGTATATCCCAGCAATATGGTTGGGATCATTACCGGCTGCGGTGCGG